TATTATGCATAATTAGCGCATACGCATTAATCACCTATTATGCATAATTACGCTACGTCAGCACAAAAACTGTAAGCTATACGTGTACCCGGACGTGCGCACGTACATATACGCACGAACGCACGAACGCACGCACATGGAGTGCATTGAGATGCCAGACGTCAGCTCAGCAGCAGAACACATATATATATATATATTCATATATATTATATATATGATATTTATTATATTGATCAAAGGTGTTCATCATTTGGTAGTGTTTGTATGTAGTTAGCTACGGTTGTGAAGATGAATAATTAAGGGCTGCAAAACGTATTTAATTCAATCGTTTCACAATTCTTATTTCAGTTGCTATTGTTGGTCATATCAATTTTATTTTCCAGGTTAAACCGTAAAAATGACGATAGACTACAGTCTGATTGCGAGGGGGGAGGTTATCATCGTCTCTCATCAAATTGGGTCAGGAAACTACCATTCCATTGCTGAGTCAATGCTGCCTAACATTCCACTTAATGTGAATACGAAAATAACTTATACATCTGAAAGGTGAGCTTAGATCTAGTTTCTAATGCATTCGTTTTATTAAGAATGTTTCTACGGGCATGGTGTGTAATGCAGTGTGGGATTTTAATAAGGAAATCACAGAGTGTGTAGTTATTGGCCATCACGTATTCTAGGTTATGACTACATAAAAAGCTCTAATTTCAGAATAGTGTTGATGTCTAGCAATCTCTTTGTTTCAGTTTTATGTATCATGTAGTGGTTGAGGATGGGCTAATATACCTCTGTGTCTCGGAACCAGCATTTGGACGTCTTGTGCCGTATGCATTCTTGAAGGAGGTTAGTAATGATAGGAGTTTAGAAAGTGCATGGTTTATTCTGTGCTGAAATACATGATGTTTTGTTTCATAACTGTAAGTGGTACTGCATATTGTCTGATATTTGAGATTGACAAATGTATCTCAGATGATAACTACCAGACTAAATTAAGGCACATATTAAAACAATAGGGTGTCTGAAGTATCACTAAAATAATAGTATTGCTACTATCGACATTAGCTGCTGCTCTACAGCCATGAGGATTTGAACGTGCTCCTTGTTACAACATTGTTGCGGGTATGCCATATCGTGGGCGGTTATAATTAACCTATTATTTTACTGCACAATATACAAACCATGTCATCTTGTCACGGAAACAGATACAGAAAAGGTTTACCTCAGGAAGTTTACCAATTAGAGCAGCCACGTGTGGTGAAAATGGCTTACAGAGGGACTTTGAGCAGGTGCTGGCAGCACAAATGGTGAGTCTGATATTTATTGTACTGTTCGGTGATACCCTGCACTGCAGAACCTCAGTTTATAGAAACTGACTGATGTGAAATTTGTAAGTGATGCCTAAGGAATTTGAAAAGGCGATATGGGAAGAGTCATGATATACCATATCTGTTGGTGGTCTTATTAGCACAATTATAGGTGGGGTATATATATATAGGTGGCTATTTTCTCATGCAGGAATACTTTTCGACAAGCGAAGAAGTTAACAAAGTGACGAAACTTCAGTCTCAAGTTGACAGCGTCAAAGAAATCATGCAGGAGAACATAGAGAAAGTGTTACAGAGAGGAGACAAACTTGAGGAACTTGAGTCAAAAGCTTCTGACCTGGAATCAAATGTTAGTCATTATAAGTTGTTCTCGTGATGGTCTCTCACCTACAGTACGACTTAAATTTGCTTAAAGTCTGCATTGAGTTTGAGTGAGTGAGTAAGTAAGTGAGTGAGTGATTGAGTGAAAATTGCAGCATCTCATTGATGATAATTGCATGCCGTCTTTCCAGTCATCTACATTTCGCAGTCAGACCAGGAAGGTGGTAAGGAAGATGTGGTGGAAGAACACTCGCATGACCATCATCTTAGCCATGGTCGCTGTGGGACTCGTCGCCATCTTAACTGTCATCATCCTCTATGCAACCGGTGTGCTTCCTCCAGACTCGGGGTACTGAAAGGTTTTGTATAGCCGACTGCTGTTAATGGGACACTGTGAAAATTACATGAGGAGTTTCTTCCAGATGTGTTCATTTTAAACTTTCAAATTAGGTTGATCATTGGAAGCATGGCATGGAAGTTGTTTATATTTGAGGAAGAGAACATGCATTTCAGATACAGATGTTCTTTATTGAATTCATATTTATTGCATTTATAACGAATTGATTATGTGATAGATGAAAATGTCATGGTCAGTCCAAGTGCGACCATTGTAATAAGCTTCTTGTTACTGTGAGAGTCGTCACAGTAAAGATTTCTTAGTGGATTACGCCCTGTTCCTTCTAAGAGATGATATAGGGCCTAAAACCGTAATACCTTGATACTTAGATGGGACACCTCTAATCACCTATATCAAGAGGTCTTACATTATTATATGTAAACTTGTGTCCTTGAAAATAACGTCATTCATACCAGATTTGTACATTCTGGATAGGTAAATTGTATGCTATAGAAGCTGGTTCACTACAATCTTTGTCTGAAAATTTATAGTAATTGAATCATAATATATTGTGTATTTATAAATAAAATTGCTACATTTTAAATACGACAGCTAGGTCACACGTTTGGGAGGATTAATACTTGTATGTCTATGTGTGCACAGCGTCTTAACATGACTGGATACTACCTTTATAGGCTGTTGACAGGATGTGATGTAGGTTTAAGTCTGTTGTGGACACTCATATTTATGTAAAATACGTTGTACGTAAGCAAAAATTCATATATTTCTTGGTGGCTGATTCGTACACCATGTTCTTTTTCTATCTGATTTTTTAAAAGGCATGTTTGACTTTGTATATTCAGGCCCACAATGACCCGTGTCTGTGTGTAGGATCGTATCAGCAGTCATCAGTTGTGTGAATGAATACATAATGGATATGTATACAGTGCTGGTATTCTCTATAATGAGTGCTTGCGCTGTTATAAAAATATCAATACTGTATTGAGGAAGCACATCAATGTGTAAATGGAAGTGTCAGGGGCGGATCCAGAGGGTTTGGGTGACCAGTTTCCATATGCTCTTCTGCAGCTAGGGGGGTCCGGGGGCATGCCCCCCTGGGAATTTAAAAAAAATTTGGCTATATTTGGTGCATTCTGGTGAATTTTGAGGCCTGTGACCGGTTTCTGGAAACCGGTGCAAACCGGCCTAAATCTGCGCCTGTGTGTTTACATAATATTTATCTAGAATAGTTATTAATACATTGCACACTGATTGTTATCATTATTCGATGACCATTGGGATAAAAAGGAAAGTGCTGTATAATTGACTGACTATACAAGAAAAATAAACAATATATCAACTTGAATATATCTTTTTTTAACATAAAATGCATAAAATCAATTACGGGTGTGGCTCCTAATAGAACGTGTAAAGTTCATAATGTAATTAGGTTGTTATAACTTAAATTGTAAACTAAGCGACGTGAGGGCCAGAAAGTGCGATGTTATCAGCTTAATGGTGCAGTATGCGATGGACAGTGAGTTGCATTTTATTGACCAAAGACAGTTACATAAGGGGCTATTTCCTCGGGAACGCACTCGCAGCAAAACACCCTCCCCCGAACGCAGCAAGAATTCTATTGACATTTTCACATTGGGTGATCCAAGTGTACACACCTCATAGACCCTTTAGGTTAATATAATCCACACGCCTACATTCCTATCGAGTGAAGTTAGATCATGTTGCACTTCTATGGGTATATATAAATGCAGCAGCTTAACAGGTCTTCGTTTTGCTTCGGTAAGTCTATACGGTCCGAGGCCAGCAATGCCGACGTCATCACTGCCAGCTAATGGCTTACAACACTAACATCTGTTAAAAATTCAAACAAACATATATATATATAGGAAAGTGCTGGCGAGGTATATATAGAGTCACGAAATGGACATCTATTTTAAATTCGTTTGATCTTAAAAGGGGAGTGAAATCTTTAACTTGAACAAGAAATACACGTAAAATCACAAGTACATCGATTGCAGTAGCATTATTCCTTATATGGATTTAATGTCATTCAGATGTGTAATTATGCTTGCATTTAGCATCTCATAACTATGTCACACAAAACTGGCAATACACCGGCACCGTACTATTCATTATCTAAATGCACTTTATTCCACACTGGGAACATGATCACAGGTCAATCATCGACTGTAACATAATATATATAAGAAAAATACAAGGAGTGCTTGCGAATTTCAATGCGCAATATTATCCTGCAGTTTGTCGATAAAACCACTTTGGTAACAAGCACGATCGGGCAATTACAAAACCATAAAATCTATTGATCTGATCTACATAACATGACAATGCTAATCAAAATATCTTACATAAAGGGCGAGTCTGTTTTTCGGTACTGTCGTCATTTCTCCCCCCGCCCCCCGTAGAGGTGACCCCCAACACCATATATTTCTGAATCAGCATGACGCGACGACCATTTTAGGCCAAAAAAAAAATTGACAAAAAAACGTAGCGGCCTCTTCTTCCTCGACGCTCCTGGCGGAACAGGCAAGACTTCGTTACAACCTTCTTCTTGCCAGGTGCAGGCAACGAGGAAGATTGCCTGGCAGTTTGTTCAAGCGGCATTGCTGCCACCCTGCTGGACGGAGGGCGGCACTGCTCACTCGCCTTCAAGCTGCATTCAACGTGGCAAAGCGGCAAAATGCCAACCTGCAACATCAGCCGTGGCTCCACAAAGGCCAAGCTGTTCCAAGAGGTGCAAGCTCATACATCTGGGATCGTGGCAAACCAATGAGCCACAAAGGCACCTTTGAAGCACTCGACAACACCGCTACAAGACCTTCGGCACAACACAAACGTCATGGGAGGTGTGACTGTCCTGCTCTCGGCAACTTTTCGCCAAACCTTGGCAGTCATCGCCAAAGGAACAAGAGCAGATGCTGTCAATGCCTGCATAAGTCGTCGTACCTCTGGAGCAAGGTGAACCGCCACAGCCTGAAACCAACATGAGGGTGCAGCTCAGCGGCGATGAAGAAGCTGCGCCTTCTCAGCAACTGCTGGAGGTCGGCAATAGCAGACTCACCACCACAGCTGATTGGCCAAGTCAAGCTGCTCATTAAAGCGGCGACATCACGCAGCGTGATTGACCAGAGTCTCCCAAACCTCCACCTCCGCTACCAAAGACCAAGACTGGCTGAGCGAGTGAGGCCATCCTTGCTCCCAAGAATTTGCCATGGATGACATCAAACGCCAAGCTGCTGGCGAACTGCCCTGGTGACCCAACGAGCTACAAGTCGAGGACACAGTATCCTGATCCTCACCAGGTCATGCACTATCCGACCAAGTTTTCTCACAAACTGGCGACTTCACGGTCTGCCACCACACAACTATGGTGGCTCAGGTCGGCGCAACCCATATTGTAATGGCAACCTGGATGCTCCAAGCTCTGCAACGCTCACAGTGAAGCAGCTCATGCCCAGAGTCATCGAAGCCAAAAATCATGACAGGCAAGGCAAGGGCGAAAATGTCTTAATCCAAGGAATCCCGCTCATCCATCCGACTGCCATTTCAGTTCAAGAGCTGCAGTTTCCAGTCAAGCTAAGCTTTGCCATGTCCATCAACAAGGCCCGGGCCAGTCCCTCAAGGTGGTTGGACTCAAACCTCAGTGAGCCAGTGTTCTCTCCCATGGCCAGTTCTATGTGGGGTGCTCCAGGGTGGGTAACACCCGACAACCTCTACATCCTCTCTCAAGATGGCAAGACCAAGAATGTTGTGTACCCAAGAAGCGCTGCCAGAACTGACCAGAAGTGAAATTCTTGCAGCATAGATTTATCAAATCCGAATAAGATCAGTACATCATCCATAGGCAGACAGACTAAATTCTCGCTCTTTAATCCCGGGCATCGCCGGGTAGCCCAGCTAGTTACTTTATATAACTGATGGGAACTTGAGCTGTCATGGATTGAGGATACGGTAAAAAGGTTCACTGGCACACAATTATGCACCACCTCCATGTGATGCAATCAAGCGACTAGTCTGCTGTGATTTGCAGATGCCTACTTAAATACAACATGATAACGGGGGTGAATAATGACAAACAATCATATATATATAATAATAATATATTATAATAATTTGTCATAATTCACCCCTGACGATAACTAAAGGCACCCGCACACGGTGCGCATGTGCCGAATGCGCGCGCAAAATATCTATCGATTTCCCTGGCTCAGCGCCGTTGGCGCGCGCCGAATGCTCACTGTGTGCGGGCTGGTTTACATGCGCAGATGGCGCGCGCGTTTAGCTCAGCGCCGTTGGCGCGCGCCGAATGCACACCGTGTGCGGGAGCCTTAACAGATCAGCCTTTGACCAGTTATGTAAATATGAGCCTGCTCTAGCTGTTGATATCAACAATCAATACCATTTAAACATGTCTTTGAACTTACAACCAATTAAATTATACTAAGCACGCATATAACGATTTTCAAACAGGTATGCCTTCAACATTTATTTTTACTGATGGCATCTGTTTTAATAGATAAACGTTTCATAAAAAGCCAATTTCTGTGTAAGTAATTAGCACTGTGAGCTAGTCTAACTAACTAGCTCATCTGCTTTAATAGCACTTGTTTTGTGTGAAAACTTTCAAAACTGTACATATATATATAAACTAACTTATTAGCTTCCCAATAACAGCAATAACAGCAGATCTTGAATTTTCCAGCAACAACACACAACGGTGACATATACCACTCATGTAATCTCCACCATAGCTACTCCGTCAACAGCCATGGAAGGATGCACACTTGCAATTAACATGAGCCTATTTTCATTGATATACAGGTTCATGTTAATACAGGGCAATGATTTCAACCAACAAACGTGACACCAATAAACACAGTCATCTGTTTTGCTAGATTTCAGCCATTGGTCTTACCAACCGCGATTCCAGCAATCTAGCCAATTTTATAGCACTCCAGTAAAAGTCAAAACTGAAACCAAAAGCATAGCAAACTAAAATTTTGCAAATCATTAACAAGGCAAAAAAATGCACTAAAGCCATTTTCTTTGATAATTTTTCTTTTTTTATGCAAAAATTCGGAAAACCCCAGTATATGAATTAAATTACATGTTGTTAGAATTGAGCATTTTTAAGTTTAGCTGAATTAAAAATATCGAATAAACCCTCGTATTTTTAGATCGAATTACATTTTCAAGCTTTTTACTGACCCTGAAATTGAGAAAAACATGACGTGGACCTGTACTTCAACTTTCTGGGCGAGCTGCCACATTTGGCTAACGTCCACACAACTGCGGTGGCAACGTGCCACTGCACAGAAAGACTTTGCAAAACTACACTACCAACAAAGCGTAACATAGAAGCTCGCCGACGCACTACGTAGTACGTACACGGAAAACAGGTGCCAACTGCTGTCCGCTCCACGGACATCAAGACGAGCCGATGAGACCTTGAGTGGAATTAGGAAAATAAATAAAAACAGAAAAAACACCCCCCCCCCTCCACACACACACAATTACACGCCCCCGTTTTTCGTCGTTCCCCGCATCATCTTCACTGCCTCTTCTTCTGCCTGTCCCACGCGCGTTGAGAAGCTGAGCACTCTCCGTTCCCTGCATCCTCTTCACCGCCTCTTCTTCTGCCTGCCCCACGCGCGTTGAGAGGCTGATATCCGTTCCCCGCATCCTCTTCACCGCCTCTTCTTCTGCCTGCCCCACGCACGTTGAGAAGCTGATATCCGTTCCCCGCATCCTCTTCACTGCCTCTTCTTCTGCCTGTCCCACGCGTTGAGAAGCTGCTTGGCAAAGTAGAGTCCGAAGCAGTGCACCTGCGTCGCGACCGCAAAGAACACGAAGCACATCGGCACCATCGGGTAGCCGAAGATGATCACGCGCGACTTCTTCGTGTGGTAGAACTCGACGAGGTCGGACGCCATGTACATCGCCGCGGCGATGACGGGAACGATGCCGAGGAACAGAGTGCCGGCGATGAAGGTGAGCAGGAGGCTGCGGTTGTTCTTCGGCAGCGCCATCCAGCCGCAGACGGCCGGGATCGCGCCGAGAAGCCACGCGTACTCCCAGAGCAGCGGGTCGGGAATGTTCGCCTCCATCGCCTCGTCGATGACGAGCGGCAGGTCGATCTCGAACAGGTCGAGCAGCTCCTCGAAGCACTTGAGCAGCAGCACGACCCACAGGTGAAACTGTATGAAGATGCACACCTTCAACCTCCACTTGTTCGTGGCACTGCAAGAGAGACGGGGGCGACATTAGGATTTTACGACAGCGATTCTAGGCAGACGTGACACTGGCAGAGGCATGACATAACACAGCTTCAATCTCCACTTGTTCGTGGCGCTGCAAGAGACAGGGTGACGTTATATTTACGCCAGTGATTCTAGGCAGTACATTGAACACTGATAACAGTTAACACTGGCAGAGGCATGAACCAGCAAAGCTTCAACCTCCAGTTGTTGGTGGTGCTGCACAGCTTTGACCCCCAATTGTTGGTGACTCAGCAAGAAAGTGATACATATTACAAATCAATTGCTTATAAGTTATATATAACGAGCTTACGACGCCATACCAACTAAAATACATGATGGGGGATGCTAAAATTAATGATACGGGATTCCATTTCTTTGCACACGTATGAATGCCACGTTTAGGCACTCCGATTAACCAATGTTGCGTACACAAATTTATTTACGACTGCCGACATTTACCCCCGGTGAAGCATCCGAGAAACCTTATTAACGCATGGACCCAGATATTCATACCATAATGTTTGTTTACCAACGGTTTTCACAGATGCATGGCTCAGCGTGAACTGCACGTTCGCAAGCAACATACACGCTTACTGTACGCGTGCCATGTGTCTTACCACCTCCATGCACACTTATGCACTTAAATGCTGAACAGCTCAGCAACTTGTGCACTGCTACAACTGTCCTCAAGCGACACGTGGCGCCTACCATACATATCACCCTCCTGCGTGAGCAGTGAGCACGAGACATATAACAGACGTCCTGGCACAGTTTTATATTCGCCAGATCATGTGGGAGAAATAAAGAGTAAAAATACACAAGACAATAACGGCCAAGGTTACCAGTCTTATACGGCGGTAATTGTACACGTTAGATCTGTATCACAGTATACCTGAAGACAATGTATGATAGTATTCGTTCTAGAGAACAAACAAAATTAATTATAATAGTTAATTCCAACCCGTTCTTTATCTGCTTGAAGAACCAAGTTGAAGAACATTGGTAAGTACATGTGTTTTAATTTTTTTAAAGTGAACATGGAATAGAAGGTAACAAGAGGAGCAATGTCAAGAAAAGTTATATACGGAGATTAATCAAACCCAACTGGTTTCGCTTACTATTTACAAACAGCCGGTACGAATTCAGAGGCAAGCTACGTGTTGATTGATTTCACTGATGACATGCCCACCCCCTCAATTTCCTAAAACTAAGTAGTTCACTGGTGCTTCTAATAATGTTCGCCTCGATGAGCTGTCAAGATTTGGTATACTTTCACAGAGCTTCATTCGACAGCTAGTGCCAGCTTTCGGCACAGTATGTACGCATTTACTGAGTTGTGGATGCAATTTATCGAGAAAAATAAGGGAAACATTACATGCAACCAGCACTTCCCTGTATACATGTAGGAAGAAGAAAAATCAGATGTCAGACAGCTCATTTACGTAGGTTTATTATCATTCACCATTATTCCTAGATGGTTTACTACGGAAAAATTATTGACAGTTGTTTATCTCTTTGAAACTGTTAGTGATTATGGTAATGTCTTCTATGCAACAGTATTGGTAAAAATATCATTATCAACTCTATATAGATTATAATTTTATAGCAACTTGTGCCACAGTGCAACACGGACATTCAACGTTTATGAACGTTCCAATGATAAGTCAAAGTATATGATCGAGAGTGCATGCACACACGTGGCAAGACATCAAGGGACACGGTTTCCGGTTGACAAGAAACATCTGGGCTTCAATCAAAAACGGTAACATTCCATCGCCAGCAGCTTGTGTGGTACCATCACATACAACTATCACCAAGATCGCCAAGCTATATATAGCTAACTATATCGTTTAGCTAACAACTATCACGAGCCATATCTCATAGAGCTATATTCTCAGTCAGTCATGCAAGCAATTAATGAAGAATGATAAGATTGAGAACTGGACACAAAGGAGAATATCGTAGGATAATAAAGATTTTTGCTGCAGAACCACTGTAGAATAGTTTATTTTTATATATTTCAAATTTGAAATAAAGAGGGTAACATATTTATTTATTCAACAAATAATTATGAAGTGGGGTAAACAGAGTACAGCAGCTATAGTGTGTTAGTTATGTTTACGATTTCACGTGGAAAAATATAACCCACGTGCTGTTTTTTTTAATAAATTCTCTTTGATTCTATCAATCATAACATCAGTAAGCGATATGTTATTTTGAGTTTTGTTATTGAGTGTTTTTTGTCTCCCTCAGTGCCAGTTCTTAACACCGGTAACAGCATAATACATTGGGGTTTGTTACGACTGTGTAACAATTCAAACGTTACAATTTCACATGCTTCCTGGATATGTTTCGAGTAGATATATATGCCCGTGAAAGCAGCTGTGGTGATCGTGTCTGGCAAAAATAACACCTGGTCAAACCTGTGTACAAGGGTCACTTAATAGAAGTATGAAAAATTGTCCTTTACAGACAGGTGTCCGTTCTATAAAGGTCCCAGCTAACGCAGGTTTGACTACAGTTATTACGCTTTCGGGACGATGCCACTCTGTGCACATTCTGTACAATTAGCCTAAATAAGTGAAATAGTAAATAGTAAATAGCCTGAATAAGTGCCAGTTTGGCTACAAATGTATCCTGGCAAAAGATCGGTGAACTTCTGAACGAGAGCGTCCTTCAGCCAGCAAAGTTCGTTCAAACGCATAGCAGCTGTTGAAGACATGCTCTAATGAGATGTGGACACAGCACACTGAAGGAAAAGTTTAATACAGCTGTGCAGCAAACACGTAAACGGCCAATGCCTGCTCATTTTCAAATTGCTTTAGCTAAATGCTTATCTGAAAATGTTAGCAGGTAATGGATGTAAATTTGTGTCAAAAACTTGCCATTCTTCATTGTTGGCAGAATGGCCCAACTCACTATCAAACGTGAAAAATATGGAGAAATTCTATATCGAATTGAATACTCTGCCCAATACATATTTATGAATATATGTTGAGAATTTTAATGAGAGCAAACTATGACCTCTGTACGAACTCAAAATCTATATTTCACATGTTTCGCTTTTTTTCTCAATGTGAGAAGACCTACTAGAAGTTTTACTATTCACATACAAATAAATTGAGTCATGAATAAATAGTTGTACACACAGATAAAAATCCAGACATTATTTGCAAGAATTTCGAACATGAATTAGAAAAAAATTTAAATTAAACTGTCAGCTATGGGTTTTAATGTAGTTCACAAGTTGGAAACAAGTTTACCAACTCAAGCATGACTTGACAATAAACCATACTGCGTATGTTAAGTCATGCTTGAGTTGGTAAGTTTCCAACTTGTGAACTACATTAAAACCCGGTTTATTCCCATTTCGCCATTTCCCACTTCGCCATTTGCCATTTCGCCATCTTCCACTTCGCCATTTTCCCATTTCGCCAGTTTCCCACTTCGCCATTTCGTCCTATCTCCCCGACCACCCCCTTGTTCGAGGTGGGTTAAAAGTAGGCTTCTGTAATGAATAAATTATAACGAATCTTTAGATATGGAGTCAACTATTTATTTGAAGAACAAGAAGGCGAAATCGTACATATCAAAACATATGGATCATGTACAGGAACCCTAACCCTAACCCTAACCCTTTAACCCTAACAACCTAGAAATGACTCTTTTTTTAAGAATGAAAGGATCAATTTCGTGCAGGGGGTGAAAGCAACATAAAATATTGGCGAAATGGGAAACTGGCGAAGTGGGAAAATGGCGAAATGGGAAACTGGCAAAATGGGAAAATGGCGAAATGGGAAGGCACCACGCAGTATAACATATATACATACCTACTGTTCAGTGCACGGTGCACCTGTCTGTGACTAAACAACTGCCAGTTGACGATATCAGCCTATATTCTATGTTTCTGTATCCAGTAGCCCTCGGTCCCACAATCACTGGCCCAGAGGCTCGCCACCGAGTATATAAATTTGTAGGAATTAAAATTACCTAGTTTCTCATGGCTTTTTTTCAATAGCTGAGTTACAAACATTTTTTTGACATACACAGAGCAATCGTGTTTCCCATGAAGGATGAGTCGGGATGCTTCGTCGTGTTACAAGGTAAAAACGTACATTAGGCTGATGCAGAGTAATATACTAATAAGTTTGTAGTTGCTGCACATTTGAAAGCAAGGCATGAAATTCGAAATGTACATTTTAAAACGTGATGTGAAAAAAACACAGGCAGGTTATGCTGTCTGTGGTTTTACTCAGTAGCATTTTTTACAACTGATAGGAAAAGGAACATTCATTTGTGGAACGTTTGTCAACGTTTTAGACACAACTTATAAATGCTTGCTGTAAGAAACATGAAAACTGGCTACATCTTTGAGAAGATGCTGCACTAGCTCCACATAGAGAACGTATCCACTGTACATCTGACATCTGCTGGCAAAACTTCCAACTGAAATAATGTCGTGAACATCATTGCTTGATTCTGTGACTGTCCATTATTAAATAGGCAGATGGATAGAGCCCGTGTAGGTGTAATAACAGTATGGATATATAAAATAGGCGGGGTGCTATGGCAAAGCTTTCCTGGGCCAGCTCGGATGAATCAACTCCCAGGTTAACTAACATAATATTTAAGATCACCTGTATTACATAAAAGCATACATGAATGTAATACAACATCAGGAATAAATAAAAACACATTTGTTTTTATTTACTCCTTATAATCAGTACCATGAAATTGTGAAATTTGAACACAACAACTTACATCATCGTTGATGGTAGTATTATCATTACACTTACAGAGCCTTCAATGACTTACTGACGCACACTCAAAATTCCCACCTAGCTCAATGCCCAGAAATTCCTCCAAGAAAACGTACGCACGAGATTTTGCTTGCTATTTTCAGCAACAGTAACACCTAGTGCCAAAACTAGCGAGACCTGCCAGGGATACACTATACCAGATTCCCTTACGGCAGCCGAATGTTGACTGAACTTAAACACAGATATTATACACAACACCAGATGCATCAATTGCAATACATAGCAGGTGGCTCTCCCGATATTTTATGGGCTAAATATTTACGAGGTATGGTAGTACATTAGCTTCACACTAGCTCTTGGACCTCACAAAATAATATACATTCCCCTTGTATATTTTGATACATTGCTGTAATTGGTTCCATGTTCAGATATACCACCACCATCAATGAATAGCCATCGGGGAAGCCATCCCACAAATTATTTTAAATAAAAGACTTTGTGCACGCAGTGACATCCACCGGTGACGTCACAAACTGCGACGTATTTTGTTGGGGAAGGAGACTTCTGTCCCAGTGATGGGTTAGATCGGTGCACTACCCACCAAAACCTTGCACAGCAACAATCAAACATGAAAAAAAAAGAACAAACAAACATGTTTATCTCCATTCATTTTATTCTTTCTATACAACATTTCTAACAGCAAAATTAGTCATTACTGTTATGTGCTGTGCTGTTGCTGTTGGTGGTGGTGGGGGGGGGGGACATTAAACACTAACAGCTGCTTCCACAAGTCAAGGGAGCTGGGCACCGCAAGTTACAAGTCGAGTCGTAGTTGCGTTGCTCGATTCCCCCAACGAACCCAGTTTCTGAGCTCACTGGTGGACAGTGCTGCGCACAGTCTTATGTTTGAAATAAAGCGGGAGGTTCTGATTTTATGGTGAAAACTTTCAAAAACTGTTTCGTGCATTTTTATCTATATCTGTGGATTGTGAGTGTGTGTGGGAGAACTGATTCCGTACTACACTAGAGGAATGTTAGAGGTAGATTTTGAGCTCTGGTTTGTCGAATTAAAAATCGCTAATCCTAGGTAGTTTAGGGGTAGCAAACATTGGATTTCCAATAATTTAGCCTTACATACGCCTTTGTTTTTATTTACTCCTAATATAATATACAGCCCAGTGCTGTAGATCCTATGGTATTAAAAATAATTCATTGGCACCTCATCCTAAATTGTAAAGTACACATATAATTATTTGATGCACCATGTTGACAACCTAGCATTGTGATACATAACTCTGAAACAAGTTATGAACAACTACATCACTCACTCTCTAACTTGTGCTGTGCCACTTACTGCTGCCATCTCTTGGCAGTTTCCAAAAACTTTGAAATAGAACTAGAAGCCCTGCATCTCAGCAAAATTGCATAAAGCCATTTGATGCAGAAATGGAGAGAAAGAGAGAGAGAGAGAGAGAGAGAGAGAGAGAGAGAGAGAGAGAGAGAGAGAGAGAGAGAGAGAGAGAGAGAGAGAGAGAGAGAGAGAGAGAGAGAGAGAGAGAGAGAGAGAGAGAGAGAGAGAGAGAGAGAGAGAGAGAGAGGACGGAGAG